TTTGGTCTTTATTACTGGCGATAACTGTTTGAACAGAATTTACTAAGACAAATATCAAAGAACATGATGAATGTCACATACAAAAGCCGTTTATAATACAAATTGTTTAGTATTTTTCCCTGTGCCCAACGATTATCTAACACAAAAGTCTGTGAACGAAGAAACTAGATATGTACCAATGACGACCCAGCATCATCGCCTGGTTTTATAGCTTTTGCAATCCCATAAACCACGGCACGCTTCGTTTTCTGACTAGGTAAGCAAGTAAGTGAATAGCTTCGTATCAATCTTTTTGTCTTAATTACCATAATGCAGTCTGCTTTGATTGGGGACACTCAAAATACACTTAGTTGAACTGTACACTGATTAAACATTCTCTTAACCATTTTAAAACCTCCTGTAGTAAAACTGAACAGCGTTTTGTGAGCTTCTGCTTGTTTCTACCTTGCATTAGAAGAATTCTGGTGCCAGTTTAGTCTTTTTCTCCCAGGAAGAATCTTATTAAGGGCTACTAATCAAGTGCGTTATCAAGCAAAGCAAAACATTGCGACAACTGCGGGTGCAGAAGGAATTATGTAAGTGAGATTAGCTCTTTAACTCCTAAGATTTATTGTTAAATCTCCGCTCTAGTTGCTAAATATTTCATAGTGAAATAGGTTCATGAGAATTTGGTGTTAGATCAAAATAACAACTCCTACTTGATAATGTGAGTATTGTCATTACCTGTTTGCTAGATAATGTATGGATATTACAGGGAGAAGTTACATGTTTATCACCTCTGGTAGTTAAAGAGTTAACAATACACTTTCACGTTGAGGTCTTGACTATTTTTTACATCTCGGCCCCCTGCCTTGATGACAATGAAGCATAATACGAAAATAAGAAACAAAGATCTCTCTGTAACTCTAGATACCAAAATCTATACGAAATAACCCTGCATTTCTGAAGCCTCTAAATCTTTCGGTTGTACTTCATTTTCCGAATCCAAGTGTTTCCTTACCTCGGCTTCAAAATGAAATTTCTCCTCCGAGTTGATCCTTTAAGAGTAGAAACGTTAATAAAACTTGTAAGGAAACCTCTTTTAATTAGGCACGACTACTTCTTCCGTCCATTGGAAGGGTTTACTGACCCAGGATTGTACTGACTTACTATGTTGTTATAACTATTGTCTGTGCAACTATTACACAAGTAACACGGATTAGCACACGTCGACTCACAGCCACACCAACACAAACTCGGATCAAATCCTGGAACATCTGCTGATGTTGTTGCAGGTAGAACTGTGCCAGTGCCCTGTCCTTGAGCTGGAGTGAGACCTGTCACCACTCCAGGTGTCCCTGCTACTCCTGCGTTAGGCTGCACGACGGGCGTCATGGAAGTAGCAGTCTGACCCAGGCCTTGAGCAAGGTTAGGGTCCCCACCAGGGGTACCAACAGGTGACGTATTCGCGGGCAATAGGTTATTAGAAGGTACTGGGGCAGGCACAAGGACGGGTGGGGCATTAGGTTGTACACTAGGTGATGGACCAGGTAATGGTGGATTGTTAACCTCAAGAGGACTTGCAGAAGGGGCTGGAGCAAGCCCACTCAGAAAGTTTGGTATCGTTTCTACAGCATCCATGCTTTGGCTCCCAGCAGCAGGAAAACCCAAGTTCTGGGTTCTACCCGTAGGATTCTCTACGTTGTGATTCGCTCCTCCTGGGTAACCCAGGTTTTGATTTCCGCCAATAGGATCTCTACTGCTTTGCTTACTAGCGTCTAAATATCTGTTATTTGTAGCAGGATATCTCACGTTCTCGTTTACACCTCCTTGAAGGTAACCCCCAGCTGGGTATCCCAAATATGGGTTCCCTACAGCAGGATTTCCCATGTTTGGGTTGCCGACGGAGGGGTATCCCATATTTTGGTTCCCAACGGCAGGATATCCCACGCCTGTATTCCCCGCGGCTGGATATCCCATGTTTGTGCCAACGGCTGGATATCCCACAACGCCAGGTTTTGCCACGTTAACGCCTCCCCGCACGCCTGCCGTTGCTGGATATCCCAAGGATTGTGATCCTGTTTGGGGAACAGCTTGTGCTGGGAATCCTAGTACTGGGAGGTTAGCCTGAGGATATCCAAGGGAGGGATTTCCTACGGGCTGAGACGCAACCTGAGGATAGCCCAGAGGGGGATATCCCATTGATGGCAAAGCAGCAACACCTGGAGTACCCGGGAGCAGTGAGTTGGGAGGGTAGCTATTGGGTGCAAGTAGGTTCTGCATCAATGATGGAAAGCCTTGTGTTGCGCTTTCAGATGAGTCGGATCCCGAAAGAGTTTTCAATAGAGCAGCTGTAAGTAATATTTTTCTGAGACTTGATTGGCCTTTCTTTTCAGGCGGTGCTGGTGCAGCTGTTGGAACTGGTTGTACCTGAGGTTGCACTTGAGGGACCACCACGGGTTGAGCTTGCACTGGCGCAGGTTGTGATGCCATCTGAGGAACAATGGCTACAACAGGCTGTGGCTTTGGTAGGGGAGCTATAATAATGGGCTGGTTACTTTGTCTTACTGAGGGATTTACTGGCCTAGTAAGGTTAATGTGGAGGTTGATATTATGTGTTTGAGTAGAGGGAGGCGGGGGAGTCATTGGTGCGCTGGTGTTGATGGAGAAGTTTGATCCTTGCGCTTTGCTGGAGTAAACATTTTGTCCATTCACCCTGATGATGACTTCTTTTGGGGAACCTTTAGCATTTAAGAGCTTTTTACGGTGCTTGAATTTCGAATAAAAAATATGTTTATGCCTCACATTAATAGGTAGACTTGCTGGCCCTGTAAAGGCAAATGAAAAAAGGTCAGTCGGCTTTCAGTAAGCCATGTATGATAAGTCCATCTTAAAAACATGTGACTAACACTGCTGCCTTAAAAGTGAACTTTTAAATAAATAAGTAGGGAAAAGTTTAGTAAAGTTTTACGTGTTTAAAACTTATTTTTAACGGTCGTTTGGGACCAAAACGAATTAATAAGGAAAGGATGATAACGGCTCTTTTTGTATCGGAATAAGAAAAGAAGCTCTTCTTTTTCCACCAAAGCATCAAAAGATATTGTTAGTGTAACGGGATCGTCAACAATTTAAATGGAGAAACTCTTCGATAATTAGTGGAAATTATTCCTATCCAGTTTGAAAAGTCATGTTTATAAAGGCACGCCCCAGTTGGAGAAGGAAAATAGAAAGCTCGTGTTGAGATCGCTGCCTAGCAGAATTCATACACTTGTCAAGAGTGAGCTGTCTTTTAATACAAGAGTTTATTTATTTTAAAGTTAAAAAACAATAAAAATATTCTCGACAGCTCATGATGTCACAAAACACACAACTCCACTTGAAGGAAGGATGTATAGTGGTTAACATTTAAATCGTCTTACGTACCATGCTGGTTATTCTTGTTAATTCGATTCTTTACATGACTATATAACCTGGAATGAATTCTTTGCGACGACTTGAATCGTCGGGTTTGATGTCTCGCTGATTGCGCCACCCTTGCCATCGTATGACTCAGGAGAAGCAAATGTAAGAAAACGCAAAACAAGGCAAATCTCATCGCTTCAAGATATCCCTTTTAAACGAATTGGAAAGAATGGAGTTTGGCCAGTAGAACATCTTGTACGTGGTTACTTCTACATAAAAAGCGGTGAAATTTAATATTCAGCACCACCCGTTTCCATGCTGGTCGCTTTATTGTCCGGATCGAGCAGGTGTGACCGAATGACCCCTTGAAGTTTTCTCCTCAATTTTAAGTTTTTGCCCTCTGTGAACGTTTTGGTACTTGGCAATTTGGTCACCCAGAGTTATTTTTAGTACTTCTGCATTTAAGTCAAATATAGAGCTGTAAATGTAAGTAAGAATTGGTGCACTTGAGTCAACTTTGGAGCTGTAAAACTTAGCTACGGGAATCTCTTTAGGGGGTGAATGTGTTATCCAGGTCTCCAAGAATCGAACTCAAAATGCAAATATTGACTGGAAAAAAAGTTGATAATTTCTTTGTCTGCATGTTTACATACCAAATCTGAACAATAATATCACACCGGGTGGCTTAATTAGGCTCGTTTGATTTAACCTTTTCTTTTCGCGTATGGTAATAATACGGAATAGGCGTTTTATGTCCATTGGTGAGCTCAGAAGCGTTTGCTCTCTCTCCAGCTAATGATTCAACCTAATTCATTGTAAGGGAAGTTTTTTTCCTCCCTTAACTTACGGTCGGGAGAAACTAGGGCCCGAACTTTTCAGTTACGATGACAAGGTAGCATGTCTTTTTCCAAGTCAAATACGATCTCAAAATTTGTTATCAGGATACCTATTTCCAAGAAAAAGCTGCATTTATAGCTTCTGAAATAAACTTTATTGGATAAAAATCCCCCGGCATACGGTAAAATAGCACCTGATAAAACCTGTCGGTCTTCTACACACTAGATTTCTGCTACGTGTATAAATATTTAAACGAAGAGTTGGTTAATTATGTACCCTAAGTAAAACAAGACTCCAATGGAAAAATTAGTAACAGTCCAATGATGTTTATCCTTGTAAGATAAATGTTTTGCTTCTCTATTCATTGGAAATATCAAGGACTATCGTTCACAATGCTGATTGCCTTATTTGTGGCGAAATGACCGGGAAAGGGGCCAACAACTCGCTGGGGGCAACATGAAACGTTTATATGCCCTCTATGAAAGAGCGTTTGTGATGCTATCTGTTTCACTATTTATCTTCACGGTAACGGTACATGAGGGAAGCGCTTTTCGAAACAGGAAGACCGCGCACTTAAAGACAATCACTTTAAAACGAAGAACTGACAAGTGGGCAGGAGCCCCACATAGAGATGGTGACCCGCTAGTCAAAAGTGCCATAGACAATAAAAATGTCAAATCCATGAAAGATATTAATGGGTATTTCATTACGACAGTTTCAAATCACAGAAGGAATACAATCGCTTCCTTTCACACTGTTGAAACAAGACCAAGAAAATACAGAGGTAAGGTGCATACAATCAAAGATTGAATTACATTTCTAATCACAAGTGACGATATGGTTTACTTCGAAAAGTTGATGTTACATGTGAATCGATCTAGGTCAAGCAATAGAACGATAATCACTTCTCGTTAAAAAAAACTAAACGTTGTGCGCTGCTCACAAGGCCAGTCGATGTATGTTTCTCCTGATATACTATTACCGACATAGAAAACCCAATCAGCGCCAAATTAGCCCACCATATCCAGAATATTCGCATTTATACGGCCGATAAGGAAAATTGAAATCGCTTTGGCCAATATATACGGTATACCGACTGTATTGCAATATATGGTAAATCCTTCGTGCCACAGTTTTATATATGTTTCGAGCGAAAGTAGATAATACTGCTTCCTGCGCATTTGTCCAACCGGGTGTGAAAAGTTATGGACACCTGTCAAAAAGGCCGGACGCTGATGGTCTTTAATTGGGTGGCAATGTCTCAGGTCGCTTCGGGCCACAGAAACCAGCGGTAATCGTAATTAGTTTTTTTTTCTGCTTATAGATTCTACTTGGAAAAGAACATACATACCATCTGTAAGAAAGCCGTATTGGGGAAATTTCCTAGGACTGCATCCTTGGTACGACCCTAACTTATATAAAAAACAGATATCGAACAATGAACCGGAGGTAGACGATGAGCCTTTCATTGTTTTACCACCTGATAGCACAATAAACAGTAAAGATGAGGCGTTTAAACTGGACGAGGAAGCTGCTACTGCGGCACCAACCGCCAAGACGACACCTACCACGACACCCACGACGCCTACGACACCAACAACGCCTACAACACCCTCGACAATACCCACAACACCACTAACAACTCCAACTACCTTACCTACCATAACAACCCCATTGATAACAACCCCACCAACCACGCTACCAACCACTCTACCGGCTCCACCACCTACCCCACCCCCACCACGGCCACAAATCATAGACATCCAGTCTGAAAACCCTTTACTTAAAAGAGGGACACCACCCGTTCCTGCCAACATTAATCTAAACTTGGAGATTGGAGAAAACGGTGAAACTGCTGAGGCTGAACAGCATGAAAGTGTTCCAATATCACCGACACCACGCGTGATTTACCCTCCAACCTTGCCTTCCCCTGAAGAATCTACTTCACAGCCAACTCCTCAAATAATCTTTGCGCAAATGCCAGCCGCTACGGAACCGTCATCAGACGGTCAGCAACCTCAAATAGTTATGGCACAGCCTGTTCAAGCACAATCTCAACCTCAGTATGCCTTTGCACCCTCTCCTTCGCCGTCACCTCCGCCACAGCCACAATATATTATTGCACCTCAACCGCCAGCTCCAGCTCCACCACCGCAATACGTCATTGCATCTCCCCCACAACCTCAACCAGCTCCAGTCCCAGCTCCCCTAATGATTGCTGCACCATCGCCAGCTCCTGTAATGTATCAGCAACCAATGATACAGTCACCTCCAGCCCCTAGCTACGCCTCTGCAATGTACTTGGCTGAAGCTTCACCACCTCGAACTGTTATTGCTGCACCCTCCTCACAAAATTTTGCTGCTCCACCTGGACAAGTGACTATAGCCGCATCACCGCCGGCAGCATTAACGGTGTCCTCGTCAGCACCTGCAGCTCCAGTTGGAGGACTAAACAACATCTTTATGTCTAACCCTGGTATGGGACTATCTTCTTTAAGTCCAATTTCTTCCCTCCTCTATGGCAACAGGCTTATGCCACAGGGAGGGCCTTTGTACCCACTAGGCATGAGCACTTTCCAGTCCCCATTAATGCAGTCAATAGGTTCACCGTTGCCTTCTTACGCCTCATCACTGGGCCAACAATTACAATATCCCTCTTCACTCTTGTTACCTTCCCCTCTTGCGTTACCCGGTATCCAACAGTTCCCTAATGTCATTTCCTCTATTGGCCAAACAGGGTATGATCCCCTTCTGTATAGTGGCATAACCGGGATGTTTGCTAATGCCATTCGCTCTTCCATGACCCAGTCTCAACCGAATGCTCTTGCATCTGCCCTGGCTCTCGCTGCAACTCAAGCTCAGGCACGCAACCAGCCGCCAGACCTTTTAACAGCTGCCCTTGTACAAGCCTTAGCACAAAACATGCAGCAAGGTATTCAACCAATCAGTAATGATAAGTTGGTGCAAGCGTTATCGCAGGCACTGTCACAGGCCCAACCTAATACGAGACCGGTCCCTAACCCTGCTCCTGCTCCTGCTCCTGCTCCTGCTCCTGCTCCTGCAGTTCCCCCATCTTCGTCACCACCGCCACCAAATTTACGGCAGCCTCCTGTTCCTCCAGTGCCGCCATACCAAGTGGTTCCCACTGTCACAAGACAAGACGCACCCCCTCGGCCTTCAAGGTCCCGCAGTAGTAAAAATGAGTATTCTGTAAATACGGTCGGAAAGGCTCTTGCTAGCGCACTGCTTAAGGCGGCAAGAAAAGTTGCCAGACAAAACCAAAGAATAGCGGTAAGAAGACACAAAGGGTCTCGTCACAGACATCACAGAGCAGATAGGGATGGTCAGTATGACGATAGCGACCATAATACTGTTCGGTCATTTGTCCCCCTTTTATATGCACACTCTCCTGACTATAGGTACCAAAAACTACATCGCGTGATCAATCAATGGGAGGGAGAGGACATAAAAAAATATCTTGTCGTGTTTCGCACATTTTGGAAGCGTGTTGCCCACCCCTGTTACTCAAGAAGCCGGTTTATTTGCCAGAGATGTCCTGACTAGCTGATAGTTTCAACAGCCTGTAAAATAAGTAAAATATCTTTTATAATTATAAATTTGAAGAGATTCTTTTGTATAAATTCTTAGGTGAGCTGTTTCTTAGTTTGCCATCTTGCAATGCTAAAACGAGAGGTTCAGTGCTTTCATTGTACATATACCTGAGTTGTTGCTTAAACTGAGGACTCGCATCTACGTTCAACATGCATGTTAAATATACAGATGATGCAGTCCTTAGAGGAGACCCACTTCATCATCATTTGGTGTCACTAGCGGTTGGAACAAAAAACAGAGGAAAACATAAAGCTGGACATACTCGCAGTCGCAGTTCTAACGTTTTGTAAGTAAAAAAAACGTTAAAAAAATCGTTTTTGGTGACATACCGACCAGTAAGTGTGTCTCGGAGAAACTGATAAGTAATTAAGCAAGTGTTTGGGTGTGAACTTTCCTCAACACTTTTCCTCGAACGATTCCATTTCAGCATGATTTTAGGGTGGGTGTAATTTAATATTTTTGTCTGTGCAACTGTAGTTGAGCGTGTACCGTAATCCTGAATAATAAGTTTGCATTTTTTGTTTAAACGTTTTGTTGTCTCTTTACAGTCTGTTTTCATGGTAGAGCCTAAAGCTGGTGTTTATACGATTAAAGATCGATTTGTTGTAGTATAGGCGGAGAACTGGGTATTCTCTGTAAGCGTAGATTTCAAATGAGGCCCCTGTCCGGTGGATTCCAATACATTTTAACTAAGGCATTAAAAATGCATTTTCAACAACAGCTACCTCGCTTTCAAAATGCAAAGCACTTCACCAAGTTTCTACGGTTGGATGCGGATTTTACGAAAATATCTTTTGATGATATGTTATTATCGCATAGTGCACTTTGACAGTATTGGTTTTAAAGCTTCATAAAGCTTCCTGCCAAAGGAACGAGTCCGTTAGAGAGTTAACTTCGAATACTCTTGTCAGCGCTTGAGTTTAGATGGCAGTCAAGTGACAGTTACGCTGCTACTTAAAAAGAAAGAAAGATCGTTTTTTTTCTTTTAATGGAAAAGGTTGTGACCTGATGACTAGCGCTCTGAACTTGGGACCAACGACTTGGATCTCAAGGCCCGGTCTGGTCAATGCGTTGTATTCCTGAGCAATTTCTTGCTCAAGCCAGGATCAAATAAATCAGTCTCGGGGGGAGGGGTGAGAGGAGGAAAACCAGGAAAGACCCCTTTTCCCTCTCTCTTCTTCCCCTCGCTTTATCACACGTCCCAAATCTTCCATGAAAACAGAAACTACCGCCAGCAAGTAGGGTGCCCATTCGAGAGGAGTGACAAAATTGCTAACCACTTCATGCTGTGGAAACCATCATAAATCCCAGTCAGATGAGCCTCTAGTAGAGTGAAGATACTCGAATTTTTAATCTTTCGCTGTTTCCATTTTGTTTATGTCGTCGTGCGAGAAATGACGACGATTGTATTGCTGTCACAACTACAATTAGGTAACAGCTATTTAAAATTTCAAATCATAAAGTCCTCTACAAAGCTACAGGAAAAAATGTACAAAACTGTAATTGTAAGTTGTACCTTCATCAATGAGCGTATTTCTCACTCATAGTCTTACAAATGGTGGAAACTAAGGGAAAACTGCTTTTGACTTCAGGGAACGTAAAGCGTTCGACTAATGAAATTAGTTAATTATCATAGAGGCTTCAGCATTAATGCGATGATGCCCATTCTCACATATTCGTGCAATCATAGCCTTGTGAAATTCGAGTGTGCACGTAGGAGATATAGACTACCCTTTAATAGAATACTTAGACCTTTGACACTGAAAACCTACGCTACCTCTATTTTACTCTACTACTGAACAAACAAGCAATAGGAGACCAAAGTAAGATACTTTTTATATAATTAACAAATAATTGAGCCGAACGAGTAGGTATGATCAATCGTGATTTAGAATTTACTTCTAGGTTTGTAATGAATATTTTAACGTGATTTTATCCCTCGTTCAAACCAAGGATCTTCAATCAATGATTCGCAATCAACGATCATTTGACAACCTCTTCCCGACTTCCATAACCAACTACGTAAAGAATATCTCCGAATTCTACCAAATCTACGAAATTACATGATCCGGCTGAGCTATCCTTGTTGATCTGTTGGACTCTAATTGGTCGGACGACACACCAAAAATAAACTAAACTACTATCGAGATCCTACGGAACGGTTCTAATCATGAAATAATCTCGAGAGGCTTTAGAACGCTTCTCTAGAACACTCTATTACTGAGCCATACAATGACTACTAGTTTCGGACAAGATTATTCAACAAAGTTTCACCAGGTCGCATACGTTATGCGGCTACAACAGGCGCATAGCGTGGTCATTTTTTCAAGTACGCACAAGTACATCTGATCTAGAAACCTAAGTAAACTGAGAAAAATACTGCGTTCTTTATTTCTTGTTTGAAATAGTTGTGTGAATACAAGCAAAGAACAAAGCGTCTTGCCCTTATTTTGAGCAAACTTGGCGCAAACAATATTGTTTTCAAAATTTTCTGGTCACTTCAAGTACGCACGTGCGTATATGCGTAGAGGACGCTACGCGCCTGAACAACAAAAGTTATTATGTAAACTGTCTTTGCTATTACAAGTTCTTGAACACCTTCCGCTCATCAAAGTCTTTTCAACACCAGCAAATCGTGATCATTAAACCTTAACATTCTCAGAGTTGCGTTTGAATGGCTAAGGCTTTCCTCGTATGAATTCTACATCTAAAAAGTCACTTCGAGGTCATGAATGACTAAGTTTGAAGTTGTAATCTAAACTCTTTATTTTCTGCACTGTACTACTATTGTTGCGCTAACAGAACCTTAGTAGGAAGCTGCTCAAAGCAACGAAGTTAAAAAATATCCTATGTAGCTCAATGGGTGTCCACAAGTTAGGGCTTTTCAGCTGTGGAATATTACGAACGTATATTTGAGGTTAACCAAACCTTATGGCTAAAAATTTCTAGGCCAGAAAGACACAGTGATAAATCTTTAGCATTCTTTCTTTACCCCCTGAATGATTTCTCCCCACTCATTTTATCACTGATGGTATGCTATTTTGCACCAGAGTTCGTTGACTCTGGCTCCTCTTTTACCCTGTTTCCTAGCTCTGGTACCATCAGCACTGTTTCTGCATTGCTGTCATTGGCAAGTTCTGGAGGTGGGTTAGGCAGAAAGAGTGGTCCTGAGCGTTGTCCTTGGGTATCAAATGTGTAGCCAGGAACAACATCGGCGTTATCATTTGAACCTTTCAGTTTCAGAAAGACTTTTTGGGATGTATCATCTGCCAAATTCTCTCCCATGCTAGCTACGTCTGGTCCTGAATCGGCTGGATCTTTCCATTTTGTAAGGGCTCTTTCAAGTTTCCAATTGAAATCGAATGGTGCCTGTGAAGGACCCAGTAGTGGCGATTTCCAGTCTAAACTGTGCACGTATTTCCCATGTCTCATGTGAATATCGTGTATTTTTGTCTTTGATGGATTTGATTTGGCAGGAGAACCATAATCACTTGTATTGTCATCTGTGAAAATCTCTTCTGCCTTGCCCATCCTTCGTGAACCATAACTATGGCCTGAACCAGTTTTTCCATCAGTTGTCGATTGTTCCCTATCTGCTGAGTCGATTGCTTTTTCGATGGAGTCTAAAGATAGATTAGGTAAACTAAGCATATGCCTGTTTCCCTCTGAGACTGACAGACCTAAAACATTTCCTTGAACACTCCCAGGAACATTTTGTTGTACATCTTGTTTAGTGCTAAATGTGGCCCGTTCTTGTAAAAGTGCTTTCTGAGGCGCCATAGCATTTTGCCGTAAATTAGCTCTTCGACGCCAGAGTGATTCCAGAGAAGGTGGTCTCCTTCCCCACTGAGGAGACCCAAATGTATGAAATATATCCATTACTCGCCCTTTAAAAGAAGGAGTGCTATCAAACTGTTGTTTCAGTAAACCTGTCTGCATGGTATCCAAGCCGTCAACTAATCCTGGAGTGAAATTTGAGTCGCTTTCTTCATCCTCATTTCGTTCCCCATCATCAGTGAATTTTTCCGCTTCCGCTTCCGATTCTTCTTCATCCGGTAAACCATGATCGCCTTTTCCGAACTGCTCGTTTTCTGGTATGGCCTGTGCAGTTTCTGCCGGAGATTCCGAGTAGCTTTGGCTTGCAAACCCAGGTATAGACGGTTGTGATATTTCTGGGAAGCCATTCGCGTTTAATGAATAACTTGAAGACGAAGATCCTTTCTGGTCGGTTTCATTTTCCTCATTCCGTTCATCTCTTAGCATCTTCACTGAAGGTTTCTCTGAGGATCCAAAAGGCTCTTGACTGGAAAAAAGATTCAAAGTTGCACTAACGCTGTTTGGCTCATTTCGTTTATCTTGCCATGATGAGCCCGGTGGAACATTGCTTGTGTCAGTAGCCGGTTGGCTCATATCATATGGAATGTTTCCAGTGGCTGAAACTAAGTCTTGGTTTGGAAACTGATCTACCTTTTGGGAGAGTTCCATCAGCGATTGGGGTGAGCCCTTTGGAAAAGCGAGCAAAGGAAAGCGTCGGAAAAGTAGCTGTGGTGCTACGGGAGTAAATGTTAAGGGCCACGGTGGAACCCCCGATGAAAGTGGCTGTGGTGTGACGGGAGTATATGTTAATGGCCATGGTGCAACCTGCGATGAAATGCCTGCACCATACAATCCACGCGCCTCTGAATATCCTTTGCTTATAATATCTTTCATAGGATCCCCAACGGGATAGATAATTTTCGTTCTTGGTTTGTTAGCGACTGGAAAAAAGAAAGGAGAGGATGAGAACGACTTTAGAAAATGTATGGAAAAACGCTTCGTATTAAGGAAACTTCGTGATGATCTCGTAGTTCCCTGTACAGCCGAACCTATAATAACGGCCACCTCTCTACAATGGCTATCTCGCCACAACCTCCAGTTTTTTCGGTTTTGGCGGACTGTCCAAACATTACTTCCCTACCTCCCCATACCGGCTACATTTCCCCAAAGGCCATTTTCTTCTGTCTTCAAAGTGGCCTTTGGGGAGAGGTTCAACTGTATTTCGTTTTTGAGGAATACTCACCAGAAACTGCTTTCTTTTTGCGTAATTCTGTCCCGTTCGAACGAAAACGTGTGCCTCTTGCTTTCTTTGTCGAGCTTTTCTTTTCGTTTGTGTTTGAAACTTGAAAGCTTGACTTTCTCCCATATGAGAATGACCCATTAAACATTTTATTTATGCTTTGGTGTTTGTGGGCATGTCTCTTACCACGAACCTCACGCTTCCTTTGAACTCGTCTACTATCGTGGATCGGAAAATTTTTGGAAAAAAAATTCCAGAACGGGAAAGTAGAATATGGAGCTTGAGTTGGAATATATTCCTGATCCGATGTGCCATTTAAATTAAAAAGTTGGGTCACAGACGGTTCCGCCAGCGGTGTCTCGCGTTACCGGATAAATTCTTTCCCTCCCACGTACGCCTCATGGAAGACATTGTCTTCCGAGGGAGGAGAACGATGATTTTGATAATTTTTCTGAAAAAAGGGGTTAAAAATTCCAGGAGTACGTATGGCTGAAAAGTCATCCCTTGACTGAAGGTCATTAGAATTAGTGGCCAAATCTAGTCCTGGGAGACGAGATGGCCATTGAGTAGTTTACGTTCGGGGATCAGACATGAATGAGACTTTGCCATTGCGCAGAGAGTACCACTTGTTTGGCATGGTGGCTGACTGATCCGTTACTTGCATTCCTGCTAACTGCAGATTCGTCGCCTTTTCGTCAAGGCCTTGACTATTGGCATCGAAGCTTTCTGCGTTAACTATTGGCTGCCCTTCAAACGTCCCATTGTTCCCAATTTTGATGATCTGAGAGGATTCTTCCGCTGTCGTCGGGCTATGAAAGATTTCAGCGTTGCTGCCCCTGCCTACTAGTGAGGAGATTGAAGTTTTGAATCCTTCGTTGGTTTGTGGTATTGAAGCTTGGTCGGAAGAATCTTGTGGAGTTGCTCTTTCAAATTCTTCATTCTCTGCTTCTTGTGTCTCTGTCATCCTGTTTGCCACTCCCATGTTCCAGGGAATGCTAAAACTATTATGGGTCGGTGGAAAAACTGGCATCTTGTACTCAGATGGAAAGTTTCCTACAGATGATCCATATCGTTGCATCGCCATAAACCGCTGAGACGTAGGAATTAATGGAAACCGAGAAGGCCTATGAAAAAAAACCTGTGGGTTAATATTGCCTAAGGAATGTAATAAACCATGTGTTCGCATCGCACGCATACGATCCGCCATGGCCATTTGAGAGACTTGAAACGGCCCTCTAGTATTGAAGAATGGCTCGTATCTTTCTGTTGCAGCATTGTCTTGAAGAGGTGAGAACTGGCGGTTTAGGTAACCTTTTCTTGTATTGAAGTACATTCCACCCCCGTTTACGTTGATGAAATTTCGAGCATGTTTGTGTTTATTTTTCTTTCGTTTGCTAGGATGAGGCACATGACGCACATTTGACGAAACAGTTTCTGATGATAACAAAGGTGACTTCTCCTTCTCCTTTTTCAAAACGGCTGGTGCGCTTTCAACTTTCGTAGGACTAGTTGACCTCCCCTTTACGATTTTTGCGGACGAGTTTCGAGCAGGATCATGTGACTGCTGAAGTGCCCTTTTGCGCATGTCTTGCCTTTTTTGCTTTAATAAAATCATAGATGCCAGCCTGACGTTAGGTGCCAATTCATTAAGAATTCCCCAGTTCCATCTTCCCTTTGCTTTACGCATTGAAGATCTCTTTTCTTTCTCGTCATTGGCCTTGCGTTTATCGAGAAGACGCGCATCATTTGAGTGGTACAATACTCCTGTTCTTCGCAAAGCATATTTACTTAATAAGTCATCATTGCTGTCGGCTCTCGTTGGATTAAGACTCCGCTTTTTCATATTCCGAAGAATGTGCCTCAACCTGATCAGCTTTGGATCATTTAGTTTGCTTTCCTTTCTCATGTAGCTCGTAGTTCCAGAAGTTCTCGGTACCGGTCTCCATTCCTGCTCTGCCGCAGATGTCTTGTACCCTGAACTCGACGAGGCCGGCTGGTTCAGTGCACTCTCAGAAATCAAGTTGCTTCCACTCAGATTAACTTCTCCTAACAGGTTTTGAAGTGCAGTGTCCCTGCTCTCATATGCATTGTTCAGATCTTGACTGGACTCAAGCTCCAAATTTCGCTGCATTGCAAATTCTCGTTGAGGGTCGTTATTTGCTAGGCCTGGTATTGTGAGTCCTGGAGTGGCCCTCCCGTATTCTGAGGAGGAAATTAACCCACGAGTTGAAACTCTCCTCATCTTTCTGCTGCGTGGTATTCGATTGCGTTGCATTGTAAATAGCCAACTAGGTGCTTTAGGCGAGATACTTGGTTCATATCGATTCTGGTCCACGCGAGTATGCATTATTATTGGGAAATTTCTCTTTATTGCTGTGTAGCGATACAATGGAATAAAAGTTCCGGGTTTAAAAGGGATCCAGTCTCTACGAAGTTTGTGGGCTTTCCTAAACCCATTCCGACCAACAAATGGCGAAATTGTCTTTATTGTGACCTTATTCCTGGAGAAACGAAATCGTTTATCTGAAAGAGTTGTTGTTTGACCGCTCCAGCTTGGTGAATAGTCATCGGCACCATAGACCGGTCTGTGATTAGAATTTCGGGTAACATCATCATGCTCTCTGATGCCATACTTGAGTTGAAATGGAAAGGTCGTCTTTTGCACTCCTCGTTTCGGGGTTAGGACAGGTCTATGGTGAGGGCCTTGGCTTGGATGGTTCCAATATTGATAGACATTGTGCCTGTTCCCATTTATCTTCGCTGGTCTCACAACTGTGGCTGTGATCGTGGTTCTACGTTTGGGCCCATAGAGTCTTCTTTGAAGAAGACTTGGGTTCGGCGAGCTCCAAACTGTAGGAATGTAACGTCTTCTGTTAGCATCTTTCTCGAATTGTGGTGCCAATGCTGGTATTTTCATTCTAGGTTTGGACGTAGATAACGTTACTGCTCTAGGAGGGTTCCAGCTTTTAAGAACAGGTCTGTTTTGGAGTGGTACCGCCCTGCTCGAGGTTTTCGCTTCATGGTTATGGTTGTTGGCTGGTATTCTGCGGTAAGAGTTTGTGTTTGGATCGTACCAGACTTGAGGGGCAGAGCTCCAATTAACAGTGCCCCTTTGAATTTGCCATGCTGACGCTCTCACTAACCAGAGCAGAACAATTGGCCATATAGGTAACATGGAGCAAGTCAAATTAATTTCCTTCAAAATTTCTCCAAAGCTAACCGAAGTTATACCACCAACATTGCGATCATTCGCCTTATTTTAGCCGATCGGGGGACAGCAACTCATGACATCATTTGATTTTGTAGCAGAGGGGCGGGGCTGTACGAGTTGAAATTTGGACACCACCTGAGCGGATGATCTCTGTACCTCCCTCTAACGTCAAGATTTGCTTGTATCACCACTCACGACTAGCGTTTAGATCACAATTTTATTTCTCACATTGCTAATCATTTCTGACTACACTTTATGAAGATGAGAAAGATCGTCTTGCAAAAATTCTCTCAAAATGCTAAATATTTTAACGCTTCTTCATTGGAAGAACAAGTCTTTGTGATTTCGGAATTGTTTCCGGTCTAATCTCCTCATGTCATCGGGTTTGTTTTGATTTTGTATAATACTGCGATTGTTTAATTTTTTTCTATTTCTTTATTTATTTGTTATCTGGGAAAAAAAGGCTAAAGTATGCAGTTCGTAAATCGACTCTTAAAGCGATTCTGACAAAATACTTCAAATGTTTTGCTCTTAGAGCATTTCTTACTTTTGCGTAGATGAACCCTTTGCTCCTGACCCTTCAGTAGTATTGACCAGCAGACAAGCAGTATACGCGATTGCGCAGTCGGTTTCTATCGTGCCGTGTTGTGAACAGTGCAGTAGGAGTTTTTTTTTTTTTTTTTTTTTTTTTTTTTTCAGGCCTTTTAGTTAGAGCTGCAAGACGGCCACAAATTTGTCAAGGTCAATGAAATATTACTGTTCTAACAATAGATCGTCAAGATTTAGGAGCTATTTTGCATAATGCACATATTTTACATATTTAGACGTAAAAGTTGGGACTTTGAAAAAGGGTTAATAAATACGTGTTAAAAGATACGCGTGTTACGTAACACGCATATTTTTTTTAAAAATATAAATAGATACGTGCCCCGCTTCAAAAAGTCAGAAGAGAAGGGAACCAGAAGTGTAAGTAGTTTAGTGATTTTCTTGTAACCTTTGTAATTCCTGTAGTTAGTTGTATCTGTAAAATATTGTAACGTATATATTTTATTTCCTTTGTAGTTTGACAAAACGTAATTAAACTTAGTGTTTGTTCAAAATCTGCTTCCTCGATGCCTCTTCCGAAAGGATAAACCTATATCCAAATATCCAATTCAGGAGCTCTGACCTTTCTTGGTGAGCAGTCAACCTGAGAAATTTAAGAAATTTAACGACATTCGTTGTCGATAAGAGTACAGACCACGCTAAATCACTGTCAATTTCTTTTTTAACCACAATATCAACGTCAATTAAAACGATTCTTACGGTGTGTGACCATCGCGTGACAGATTATTAACGCGGGTAGCATTGTCTACACTATTATCGACAACGGCAAATTACGACATTGCTGTAAATTGTGATAAAAAACAAAAAAGAAATACCAAAAGTATTGAGCCGTTATTTTTACCCCCATAGTCAAGTCTGTGAAAATGTTTGAACAAGAACCAGGGCTTCCTCAGTCTATGACAAAAACTGCACAAGGGGAGCATCAGTTCCGTAGACTTTCTTTGGTGAATTCTAGTGAACCTAAAATGCAACATAGCTTATAACTTAAACTATTCAATCGTGAAAGTTCGTCATGATATCTGAATAGTAGGTAGCCTCTTCCAGGCATTCAGTCAGTAAAACGAAGCGAAATAGTAAAGGGTGCGATTTATAGTAGAGGCGAGAGAGGTATGGGTAGGGTCGCGTAAAGAACGCGTTTGTTACTCAATCAGACCCAACCTCTCTCGTTTTCACACTCCCTTGCTGACTTAACACGCCGTCAACTAGTGCACTTCATTTTCGAGGGCGTAGCTAAGAGGGAAGGGTCCTGGGGTGCACTTGACCCCACCCCCTTCTTGTAAGACTTTTTTTTGTCTTGACAACTTGGTGAGTACCCTCTGACTTGAAAAATCCTGGCTTTGCCCCCAAATGCCCAGACCAGGTTAAAGTGTGGGAGGTAACATTAAGGGTTACATCCAACAAACCAGATTTAGAAATTAATTTTCTCTTATTTATATCTAACCAAAAGGAGGCAACAATTATGCTTACATTATACTTACATTGGCATATCTGTCTTATAAGTACCACACAACATGAAAAAAGGCTAATCTACTTTTGCTTGAAGCAGTTTTTATACTTTACAACCTAAGCTCTGCTAAAATGATGACTTAAATGATTACTTGACCCACACTTTGACTTAGATTGAATCTAATAACATATTTAGATCCCTGTTATATAACTTTCTATCTTATCTAATTAGTGCTGTGATCATTCTGGTATACACTCAATTGCAAAAGATGTTGACCCCTAAAATATGTCAAATCAGAATAAAGTAGAATTCGTAATCAAGTATTCAGTTTACGTACAGATAAAAATACATTTGAAGAGCTCGTGTATAAATTGGTGCTATGCACAATAATGATATTTACATAGACATAATATTTACATTATATTATATTACCATACAGGACAAGTTTTACCCAGACTTGTTCTCCCCTTCACTAAGTTCACTAAGAAATTAATTTGTGAGGAAGGAAGAGAAATCAAGATGTGCAGTACATATATCTTATTAACCAAGCGC